AGCCGTGGTCTCCCCGTTTTACAGATGATGCTCAGAGTGGGTGGGCACCTTGTCCAAGGTCACACAGCTCGACAACATGGTATTGGGATTATGTCTCTCTCAATTCCAAGTCCCTACCGCGACCTGGGTCATTGTTCCGCTTCCCTCTGGGGTCTGTGGTGGGGGGAGGGGTCCTTGAAAGGCGGATGGCTTTGGGAGGCCACCTGGGAATCTGGGTCCTCTAATGAGGGCCCCTGGAATCTGGGACTCCTGAACAGCCTCTCGTCTTCCTAAATTTCCCTCCGAATTAGGGCCTCCCAGCAGACACGCCCAAATGGGTTACAGATGTGTTGAGATATCTCCTTAGCCCTTGGGACAGAGCCCTGGGCCGCTGAGCTGAGACCAGGCGCAATCCTGTTCGTCTCTCATGTGCTGAACCAATACAGATCCTTCTCTGTGCGCTTCGCGGTGTGAGTCAGGTCGGGAAGCCCTGATGGCTCCAACCAATCCCCTCTCGGCCCCGGCCGTGCACACGGAATGCACACTGTCCCCAGAAGGGTGGGGATTCACGGACCCCTCTGGGCCACCTTCTCTTCATCCAAGCAATGGGCACTGTGGTGGGCGATGTCAAAGGCTTTTCTGGCACTGTGAATCTGAGTGCGTGAGCCTTAGAACACAGTGTCGGGGGGAGCAGGGTCCGCACGGGGATTAAGTGAGAAATTAAATTAGGCCAAACACAGTCAGGAAGGGGAGCCATGGAGAAGGAGAGGCCAGAGGCTATGGCTGTGCCTCAGCTTGAGTCTTTGGCTGCATGGGGGCCAGGTGGGGAGGCTGGGGGGCGGGGCTGGAAGGCTGCAGGTGTCTGTTGTTCCCCACGCTGCATCCTCCATCAGAGTGGCCCCCTCCCTGATACTGTTGAAGGCTCTCCAGGCTCATTGCTTAGGTTTCAGAGCAAAGCCTGCTGGGAAGGCCACATCTGTCAGACTCATCAGCCACAGTGAAGGAACACCCTTGCCAGGTTTGGTGGGGCTGACCTTTTCCTTCCTGACAGGAAGCCAAGAGTTGTGCCTCGGAGCTGGGGGGAGGACAGAGGGTCAGGCTGGCAAAGGGAGGTCGGAAGGGTGGGGTGGGCAGCCCCACCATCTACCTCATTGCCCCAGGCAGCAAGCAGGTGAGGGGGAAGGAATTCTGGCCTCAGATCAGACCTCAGTTTCAGTCAAGGCTTAGCCACTTACTTATGTGACCGTGGGCAAGCCTCTGAGTCTCAGTTTTTTCCTCTGTTAAATGGGGATGATATCTCAAGGGTGGGGTTTTAGAGAAATTAACTGAGGGGCAGTGGGCACGGCATGATACAAACTATAACGTGCTGTCCCTCCTCCACCACAGTCTGGCCAGGGGGGGCCACTACCTGCGTCCCCCTGGCCTCCTTGCCCCAAATGCCAGGGGTCCGTTCCAGCTCCAGAGGGTTACCCTCTGGGGAGTGAGGGCCTGTTACCCTGGCTGGTGGAATCAGTCACCGGGCAGGAGCTGTTCCTCATCGGGCCTTGGGTTCCACATCCTCGAGACAAAAGGGGGCCTTGGGGCTCTGAAACCCCATGATTCCTGGGAGGGTCTGATCTGGACGAGTTTCCTCCAAGCCATGATGGTGCGGGCGGTGGCATTTGCCCCCTTGAGTTGAGCAGCCGACAGTGCCCCAAATAATGCACCTTACTTAGATCTTCCAGGAACCCTGGGGGACGGGGCCTGCTGGTGTTTCTGAGTTCCAGAGGAGCTGTCGGCTCAGAGAGGCTCAGCGGTGCCTCCCTTGCTCGAGGCCGCAGCACAGCTGCTGGGAAGCAGGGCTGGGATTTGAACCCAGGTCTCGAAGGAACCTGGAGATCCCAATCATGCTTCTGGTCTTGTGATTTTCCTGTTGCCCAGAGTAACAGCTTTGCACTTTTGTCTTTCTTGTTTGTTTTAACAACAACACTGGAAAGGTAAGACCAGAAACTGGGAAATAAGAGAAGAGTTCAAAAAGCCAGCCCCTGGACTTGGCTGTGTTTGCAGGAAACACATCACCTGTCACATGTGAAAACAAACACAGCCACCTGTGACCAGCCTCTTCTCAGGGGCGACTGGGACAAAGTCCGGAGGACGGGAGAGCTGGGTCGCCGAGGACCAGCTTGCAGGCGGAGTGCCCGAGGGCTGGTGGCTTCCAGAGCACCGTGGCCATGCCAGGCTTTCGCTCCACTTTGCACCCAAGCAAGCAGGCTGAGCTGCCGTGGGGTCAGCTGTCTCACTCACCAGACTGGCTGCACCTCCAGGCCTCCGGCGGCCCCTGGGCACAGTCCAGAGGCTTGGACACAGAGGCCCCTCCTTCCTCAGGCAGCTCGGCCCCGCCCTATTTGTGGTAGCCCTGGCCCCTTGCCCCAGGGCAGCGGTCGTCGCCCTCTGGCAGGGAGCCCTCCAGCCTGGGCACATATCTGCAGGCTGGATCAGGGCCCCTCAGAGGGCTCTGGACAGGAAACTGACAGCTTCAGGATAGTAATCATCATCATCGTAACTGGCAGCATTTATTTGACATTTACCTGGTGCCAGGTGCTTTACAGATACTAACTCATGTACATCTCACCATCACCCATTATTAAGTTCGTTTTACAGGTGGGAAAGCTGAGGCGCAGTGGCGACGTGATCGCCCAAGGCCACACAGCTGGTGAGACGCGGCAGATTTGGCCTTTCAGGCATGGAGGGTAGGAGGAGTGGGCTAGGGTGCCGGCTCAGGCTAAGCCCTACTGGGTGCTGCTAGCCCGATCTCAGGTCACCCTGCATCATGAATAGTGTCCCATTCGCTGACAAGGAGGTAGCTCTGCAGCGTCGCCCGAGGTTTTGTGGCCGATATGTGGCGAACCCAGGGGAGGAAAGCAGGGGTCGCTGAGTGGCTCTGAGCTCAGTTCTAATACCTCCCTGTGCTGAAGGCCTGGGGACCTGGGACAGGGCAGGAGGAGGTAGAGAGAGAGGATCTCTGGACTCCAAATCTCCGAGTCCTCCACTGTGTGCTCAGCCCCGATTTCACTGTGACCTGCGGGCGCCTGCTCTCTCGGCCCCTCTGAAAAACGCATGGATCTCAGAGGGCTTCTTCCCCTTCAGAGCAGACGCTGCTCTGGGCATGTGCCTCCAGGAAGTCAGGGTGGAGCGGAGTTGCCAAGAGCTTCGTGGAAACTCTCCCTGGCCAGGCCCTGCTGTTCCAGGTACCCCAGGCCTGCCTGTACCCCACTCCCAGCAGAGGGACGGGGCCCCATTAGAGTCCCCAGGAGAGCTTTAAACAGTCCTGATGGCCCTGGCCGGTGTCACTTGGTGCATGAGCACCAGCCTGTGAACTGAAAGGCCGCCGGTTCAATTCCCAGTCAGGTCATGTGCCTGGGTTGCCAGCCAGGTCCCTGGTTGGAGTCATGAGAGAGGCAACTGATCAATGTTTCTCTCACACAGCGATGTTTCTTTCCTTCTCTTTTTTCCTCCCTTCCCCTCTCTCTAAAAATAAGTAATAAAATCTTTTTTAAAAAGCCCTGAAGCTCAGACTGTACCCTGGGCCAGTTAAATCAGCACCCCTGGGAGGAGGGCGCAGGCACCAGCAGGTTTAGAGCTCCCAGGGGAATTCCAGAGTGCGGCCAGGATCAGGGGCCACTACTCCCAACAAACAGGAGACGGGGAAGTAGGAACCTCCTGGCTCTCCGGGCGTGGTGACCCCCTGACCAGGCGACAGCCCCTGCCTGCCGCTGTGTGCATTGTTCTTGGGAGACAGTCCACAGCTTGCATTGGCTTTTCTGCCCCAAAGGAGATTGAAATCCAGCCTTGGGGGAAGCCGCCTCTTCCCCAGTGGCACGATAAAAGTTGGTTTGTCCTCTCTAAGAAACCTTTCCTCCCCTCTCCAGACTGCCCCCGTTTTCCTTTCCTGTTTCCTGCAAGCGCGGGTGAGGATTTGCTAAGGACTAGGCACTGCTCTAGGCTCCGGGACATGGGGCGAACGAGACAGACACCGCCCCTCCCCGCAAGGAGCCTGCTGAGGCAGGGGCTGCAGACACAGCCATAAACCAGAGAGATAAATGCAGTGAGCGGTGCACGAGACAGGCCCAGGTGTCAAAGCTTCTGCTCCTTCAAGTCACGGGGCAGTGGGGGGAGTTCCCCCAAGATTGTGATGACTTGCGGGTCAGGAATTGTGGGGGCGGGCGCTGGGCATCGGCATATTTTGACTCTAATGTGTAGCTGGAGGTGAGGCCTGCTGAGTAGATCAGGTGTTCAGGGAAAAGCCTCTGGAGGGGGAGCTCAGCCTTCCAGGAGCGGGGAGCCAGCCCGGGGCCTCATGGACTCGGGGAGGAGTGATCTTGAAAGAAGCGCAGGTGGGAAGCCTGGTGGGCAAGGGCCTGCTCTACTGGAACAACAGGAAAGAGCAGCCTTTGTGTCCTGCGGAATGAGTGTGTGCCTGAGGAGGGGGGAGGGGCAGGGCCCCGAGGGCCCCGGGAGAGCGTGAATTTTATAGCAGACATCTCGGCTGTATCGCCATCGCAGGGTTGCAGAGTTGGGGAGTTTCAAGATCCAGTTTGCATTTTTCAAAGCCCTTCCCGAGGTGTGGGTAACAGCGAGGGCGGGAGGGGGACCTGTGCCCAGCTGGGGACCTGCACTGGTGCAGGTGGGAGGTGAGGCCAGGGGCCGGGAGGGGTGCTGGGTTGGGCTGTGGGTGGGATGAGGGCGCCGAGGCACAGAGAGACCCAGCTGGGAGCTCCTAGGTGTTCAGGCTGAGCCACTGGTGGGTCAAGGTGGTCCCCTCCCCACCTTGGAATCCTGCAGCGCTTAGAACCCTGGAGCCTGGGCCCTAAGAGACCTCGAGAGGGTTTCCTAAGCTGTGCTCCACATGGTGTGAAGGGCTGTGAGGTGAACGATGGTTTTAAGTCAGGTGCTTGGTCCTTAATAGCCGAATGTACAGTGACTCTTGGGGAGAACTGTTGCTTCACAGACTTGGTGACAGCAAATTTTATTGTTCTTAACAGAGCATCTCCTAGGACTCCTATTCTGAGGAACCGCTCCGGAACAGGCTGCTCGGGTCCTGCTGTTTGACAGGTGAGGAGGTGGGGTGGGGTGGGGTGAGAGGGTAGGAGCGGTCACCTGCGCTCTGTTTCCTCCTGAGTGACCTGTCAGAGCAGGTACACAACCTGCACCTCTGACTCTGGGCTTCCAGGTACAGTAAATGCTGCAGGAGCCACTCCGTGTCCACAGGGCTGTATGGGGACATCCAGGTTCCAAGGCTGGGCTGGAAGGCTCCTCCCCCTTCCTCAGCTGAGGGACAAACCCAGCCTCCTGGGCCACAGGTGCAAACCCACGGGAGGGCTGGACAGAAGGGGTTCCCTCGAAGACACTCCTTCCCTGTGACCAGGGGCTCTGGGGAAGGCTAGGGGACCCTGGCCGTGGGTCCTGGCCTTCAGAGCTGGCTCCGGGTGCGAACCCTACACAACCCCCACCCCACCCCTTAGGTGAGGGCACGAGAGGCCTGAAAACAGAGTCTCAGCGACCCAGGGGTGGTGGAGCTCAGACCCCCTGCAGGTGGCCGAGTGTGGAAAGTCCTAGTGTTCTGTGGGGAAGTCCTGCCCCTCCCATTCGCCTCTCCACCCCTCCTCCACCCCACCCTCCATGCCCCCTCCATCCTGCCATCCTCCCATCCCTCTGTCCACCCACAGCCCCGGTGGCAACATTTTCTGGGATCCTACTTTGTTCTCATGAATAATACACAGTCTTTCCCCCCGAGGTCTCACGACCCACTGGGGAGATGGACAAGTGAGTAGAAAATCACTGCACAGCATTAGGAGTTGGAATGGGAGTCTCCATTTATTGAAAGCCTACCCCGTGCCAGGTACTTTACCCACATCATCTGATTCAATCTCAGAGCAAATCTGCCAAAAGAGATTTCATTTTCCTCATTTCACAGATGACTAAAGTGAGGCTCAGAGAGGTTAATTTCTTTGTCCAAAGTCACACAGCTGGAAGGTGATAGGATCACATTTACAGCCAGGCAGCCCAATGCCAGACCAGAGCCTGTGCTGGGAGCCGCTCCAGTGTGCAGTGCTGTCGGAAGAAAGCAGATTGGGAGCGCCCCTCCCCGACACGTGTGTTCTCAGGGATGGGGTGGCGGGGCGGTCCTGAGGAGCCCGGCTGGAGCAGGAGGTTTGCTGGAGGAGGTGGGAGTCCGAGATGAACACTGAAGGATGAGGAGGAGTTAATGACACTGTACAAACTAATTTGGCATAAAATTATATATTTGGTCCATTTAAATTATAGATGCGTAGAAATGGTCAATTTACCTGCTACGAAGCATAACAAAATCAGCACCTTCTTCCCACTGCTCACGCGGCTGTCGGTGGCTGTTCTGGCATTCTCCAAATAAAATGCGCTTGTTTTGCGGCTGTCAGGACACCCTTGCAGGAAAGCAGGGGCAGAGCCTCCAGGGTTTGCAGAGAGTATGTACGAGCAAGTGTAACCCTGGGAGACGGCCTCTGTTTCACTTCATCTGCAAATGCAATGCTCACCCTCACTTCTTCCCCAATTCCTAATAAAGATGCGTATCCCAGCTCTGACGGCCAGGTGCTGACCTCACTGTGTCTTCATAACAGGGGGTTCAGCTGGGAGCCCCCATTCTACAGGTGAGGAGAACAAGGCTCCGGAAGTCCCTTCCCTGTGGCCATGCTCTGGCAGAGCCAGGATTTGAACCCTGCTCTGGGGAGCCTGTGCACCACCATTCGACCCCCTACACCAGGAAATGACAAGCCTTTTCCGCAAGGGGCCAGGCAGTAAACGTTGAGGGCTCTGTGGGCCAACGGTCTGCCACAACTGCCCCGCTCTACCTGGCAACGCCAAGCAGCTGCAGGCAGGACCCAAACCAGGGGGTGTGGCTGGGTGCCAACCCGAATTTATTTACGGACTTGGAAATTTGAATTTCATGTGTTACAAAATATTCTTTTTTAAAATTCTTTTCCAACTTTAAAAATGTAAAATTTGCCCTAGTTGGTGTGGTTGAGTGGATTGAGCGCTGGCCTGTGAATGGAAAGGTCACCAGTTCGATTCCCAGTCAGGGCATGTGCCTGGGTTGCGGGCCAGCTCCCTGGTTGGGGGTGTGCGAGAGACAACCGATTGATGTTTCTTTCACACAATTTGTTCCTCTCCTTCTCTTTCTCCTTCTCTTCCCCTCTCTCTAAGAATAAATAAATAAAAATCTTTAAAAGCATAAAATTTGTTCCCAGCTCACAAGCCATACAAAAAATAGGTGGTGGGTTGGGTTTGACCCACAGGCCTAGCTGGCCACTGCCGTGCTGCCCGGGCCCTCATCCCCATCTCGTGAGTGAGGAGACCGAGGCTCGTCCCGTCAGCACGGGCAGGCAGAGCCGGAATGTGACCCCACGCCCTCTGGTTCCAACTTTGGGCTCTCCTCTTTGGTGGGGGTGGAGGACTCCCCAAATTTGACACCACAGCCCATCGGAGGCTGACCTGGGCGTGTTCCCAGCCTTCACTGACACCCCTTTGTGGAACCGCCCATCTGCCAGGTGTGGGGACTGTCGCTCATCCCCTGCTCCCTGTGGCTGTGAGGGGGAGATGGCTGTACTCGCAGGGCAGAAAGACTTCGTGTCCAGGGTCCTGGCCCACAAGCCTGGGAGCCACCCACCCCAGGCTCTGGTTCTTAGTACCTTTCCCTCCCTCGGGCGATTCCCAGGTGGTCTCTGGACCTGTCCCGATTGGCCAAGCTGCCTGCCAGTCATGGGGCTGCCCGACTCCTCTTCCAGCTTCCCCCTGGAGAAAGGGGGCAACTCAAGGGGTCAGCAGCCTGGATTCTGTCCCTGGCCTGTCCACATACTGGTGGCTGAACCAGCTCCTTTAGCCCTCTGGGCCTTTGTTTGCTCACAGTATGTTGAAAGGCTTTGCCCAATGCCTGGTATAAATTGTGTGAGTGACCAAGAGACCGAGAAGTAGACCCGGGGGTCGGAGCGTCGGGGATGCCCGCCAGCCCACTAGACCAGAGCTCCTTTGAGCTGTCACCTGGGCCCTCACCATCCACTTGGTGAACAGAACCCCAGCCATCCCCAGATACAGTCAACAGCCAGTGCCTGGCACACAGCGTCTCACAGTGGAGAGATCTTGCGCCCTGGACCTTGGGCTGCTTCACGAGCCGTGTGACTTGGGCAAGTCAGCTGCACCTGCCTGAGCCTGCCCCACCCCTCCGCAGGGCAGGCGTACCCTCCGCACCTTCTGGGCAGGCTGCGAGGAGGAAAGGGGTTGACTGGCCTGGCGCCAATGGCTGCCCACAGGCAGCCCCGCCCCCTTTACTCGGCAGGCCCGGGTCTCACTCTGGTCTGAAGGCTGCCCCTTCTGAACACCCCCAGCCCTGCGAGGCTGCGCTGCAGACCTGGCCCAGGAGCAGGACCTGGGAGCCGGAAGTGTACGAACGCCGCAGACTCCCTGGGCCTGCCGCAGTTGCTGCAGGGCTGTTTCTCCACTCCTCCAGTTTCACAAGAACCAACTGGCACTACCACTGGCTGGCTCGTTGGGGCCTCTGCGCCCCTGGGCTATGATGCGGTTGGTGAAGAGTGCTTCTGGTGAAGTGGTGACTTATCTATAGGCTGTTGGGTTGGGCCTGTGTCTGCCCCTGGGGCTGGCATCCACACCCCCACCCCTTCCCCTCCCTGCCCTTTACTGGGAAGAACCCCAGACAGGCAAGCAGGTCCCTGGTAGGAAAGAAAAGCACGCCTCTGTCCGTGGGGGGATCTTTCCTCTCTGGCTGTTTGCCCCCTGTGAGTTTATGAGGGGCCTCTGGTGCCGTGTGGGGAGGGGAGAGAGGAAAACAGTAGTCTCCTGTACGTGGACCAGCTCCGCCCCCCCACCCATCGGGCCTTCCTCTCAGACCTCTGGGTCTCCTGACTTGGGGGTGAGGGTAGCCTCAGGGTCTGGGGGAGGTCCCAGGCAGAGTTGCTGAGGCTGGTCTTTCAGGGTTCCTGAGTCACCGCTGCCCCTGCATTTCTCAGACCTAGATCTTGGACCCTGGGGACTTAGAAGAGCGTCATTTCCCCATGTAGCACTTGAATGAACTTCCTCCATAAGTCTTTATTCAGGCTTTGCTTCCATGCCTCTTGTGATGAGGCGCTCACTACCAACCAGGCTGCTTTTTTTTTTCTTTTTTGGGTGTCTTTGCTTCATGTGCCCAAACCTGACCCATACAAAGGCAGCTAAAGAAAACTTTCTCTAACAGGGATATTAGATAACTGAACTGAACCCCTTGGGAGGTGGTAAGCCCTCCCCCTAAACCCCCTTCCCCATCACTGGAGGTGCATAAAGTCAAAGCCGAGCTCCCACTGGCGAGGATGTGGGAAGATTGTTAGAATGTCCAGAGAAGGGCCAGAGGCCTCTGTGCAGACAGGGGAGATTCCCATGACTTAGGACTGGCTCCCCCTCTGCGAGGGGCAGAGAGAGGGCCTCCATGCTCTCTGCTCTGGGGCCTCCCCCACTCTCCCCGCTCCACAGAGCAGGGGGAACAAGACCTGGTCTGCTGCCTGCTTCCCCATCCCCACCCCCGCCCTCGGGGCCTGGCTCTACCCTTGCAGCTGTCCCTGGCCAGCTGTCCTGGCCCGAGCGGCCTGGCGCTGGTCCCCTTGCCCCACAGGGCCTGAGAGCTGGCTGTTGTCTCTCCCGGGGTGTCTGGCCTCGGGGAGGGCGCACAGGCAGCCGGCTTTCTGCTTCCAGCTTCCCTCTTCCGCCCCGGGTCCTGCCCTTGCCTGGGGTCCTCTGAGTAAAGGGACACAGCATGGGCTGTGTCACCCAGGGTGACTGCAAAGTTGTAAACAACCTGGGTGTTCAATCTTCAGTGTTGACGCTTTGCTATCTCCATCTGGGACTTTAACTGGGAGTCCCTGGGGGGTTCCCGAATGGGCTGCATGGGGTGTGTGAACCCCCAGAAGTTGTTTTCAAAAAGTTACCTATTCCTGAGTTTTCTGGGAGAGTCTCTGACTGCCCCACCCCCGCCCCCGCCACGTTAATAAGAGTTACAGCGCAGTACCAGGGGCCCTGTGCAGCGCGGAGGGTTGTGAGGCGGGAGGGCACTCCCCCACGCGCAGACAGGGTGTGCTGTGGAATGGGAGAAGCAGTCGGCAGCTCAGTGTGCGGCGCGGGCCCAGCCTTGTTTGAACCGTTTGTTGTGCTCCCACACGCTGGAGGCGCAGCCACTCACTCAGAGGATGGCAGTTTTTATCTCTGGGGGGAGATAAGAATTTCTGTTGAATTTGTGTTTTTCTGTATTTGTTGGATGTTTCACAACACACGTTCCTTCCCTCTGTAACAAGGTAGGCGGAGTGCTTGGTCCGTTTTCTGAGAGGCCGGAACTCTCCTTCTCCCCAAGGCAGCCCCCACGCCCCAGGTGTGGCCCCAGATGTGCGGACCAAGCTGCAGGACTGGCCTCCGGGTCTCCAGCTGTCACTTACCAGCGTCCTGGTCTCCTGACTTCTGGGAGCCCACCTGGGCTGTATAGGAGAGACCCTGAGGCTCTCCTATACAATTTTGCCCCACGCCTGGGCCCCACAGAGTGGCTGGCCCAGACCCTAACTGCCAAGCATCAAGCAGCCCAGAGTATTCCTAGGACCACTCCCCAGCTGTGTGGCTGTGGGCCAGTCATCCAACCTCTCTGGGCCTCAAGGAGCTGTCAAGCGTGATTTAACATTAGTACCTGCCTTTGGGGCTGTTGTGAGGGTGAGCTAGGAGGATTTGGGGCGAGCAGATGGTGGGTGCCCATGGGCCTTGGTTCTCTCTCCTCCCCCTCCCTGCCCAGTCCCACCCTGCACTGACCTTGACCTACCTGCCTTCTCTCCTCACAGGGAACTCCAGGGCCGGCAGGATGGGGTCAGCCTGCATCAAAGTCACCAAGTACTTTCTCTTCCTCTTCAGCTTGCTCTTCCTGGTAAGTATGGCCGGCGCCGCTTGACTGCCTCCCACAGAGACTCCGGTCCCTGATGCATGCCAGCCTGAGACCCTCCGGAGAAGCCAGGCCTGGGGACGGGGGTGGGGCGTGGTCGGTGGGGGCTGAAGGCAGGCCATTCTGAGTGGGACCGGGCCAGGCTGGTGAAGAGATTGCTGGCGCACCTGGCTGGCTCCCTGGCTGAGCGCTGGACCCTTGCCCAGCCTTCCCCTCTCCGGGGGTGCTGAGGCCAGCTGTCCAGGGCGCCAGGTGTGGGGGGAAGAAAAGCCCTCGGGGCACCTCCTCAATTCTTGTCTTCGGGGAATTGTTGGACGGGAGTCTCCGGAGTCTTTCTTGCCTTGTCCTGCCCCCCACCTCCCTCTGGTCCTCTGAGAACCTCCCTGTTACAGCTCTGGTCTCAGATGCCCCCCCGCCCCATCACTCCCACCTCCATGGCGGAGAGCGTGTCCGGAGCTCCCCAGAGGGTGGGCATGAGGAGGCTGGGCCCTGGGCCAGAGTGGAGACACAGTTCCCTTCCCCAGACCCTCCCCGGCGGGCGTCACCAGGTCCTCGAGCCAGGGGACGCCCAGATGGAGGCTCCACGCACATCTGGAGCTGGTTTTCCCGGGGCCTTGAATCTCCTCTCCGGCCTGGCACCGCCTGACTCCTGCTGCTCTGGAGCCGCCAGGATGGGGGGGCGGGCGTGTATGAGGGGTTGTGTGAGCGTGTGAGAGGGCGTGTGTGAGTGTGCACGTGTGAGGCTGTGTGTGTGAAGGGGCAGGGGTGACGGCAGCCCACAAAGCTGGGGCTGCGGCCTCTCCGCGTTGGCGCACCCTGTGCTGTTAAAAAAACACGTTCTACAGGAAGATGTTCATTAGGATCCAATTTTACTCTCAGACATTGCACACATACATGAATATTTTCAAGAGAAAAACAATACCTCTGGACGTTAATGTCGGGCTTCCAGGAAACTTGGGGTTTGTTCTCTCTGCCTCTTCATTTTTCACATTTTCTACAACAGACATGAATTACTTGTGGGAAAAAATTGTTTTACAAGTTTCATAGGATTGTGGAAAGTTTAGAAAATAAAGAATCATCCTAAATCCCTTCTCATAACTATAATCCAACATGCAGATCCTTACAAGTGAGTTCCAGGTATATGCGAGCACACACGTGTATGTACACGCACACACATGGACAGCCCTGGTGCCGCCTGCTGGGCTCTCGCCCACCTTGCCTCCAGCCCCACCTCCCTCCCCGAGGACCATGCTGAGGCCCTGCTGTGGCTCTGCCCTCCACTGATGGCAGCCAGGCCTGGACGCCACCCCGGGCAGGGCCTGGGCACCTGGGCTTCCCTGGCTTGGCACTCAGGTCCCTCCTGGCTGGCCCGGGTCGCTGTGAAGCAGCTGCCCCAGCAGCCAGAGCCAAGCTTTCCCTGGCAGGCAGGAGGCTCCCAGGCTGAGGCCCGGCTGCAAGGGCCAGTGGGGGCCAGGGGTGGGGAATGAACGCTGCGGCTCCATCCCTCGGGGCTCTAGAGACGAGAGAGGGTCTGGCCATAGCCCGATGGTGCCAGGGCTCGGGGTTCAGGGCTGTAGACACCCCCCCTGCACCCGTGCAGTGGGAGGGAGGAGGGGCAGAGACTTCCTGGAGAGAGGGAGCAGGGTTGATGGTTTTGGCTGAGGTGTCCTTTCCTGTTCTACGAGGCTGCCCAGAGACTGGAAAAGTTTCTCTCCGGCCAGAGCTCTGGGGGCTGCTCGTGGGGGCTTGGCTCCCTCCCAGCTGCTCCAGGAGGAGGCTGGTGGGAATCAGGTGTTAACTCCCTGTGTGCTGGGGCTCTGGATGGCCCCTCAGGATGGGGGGAGTGTGGTGGGGGTGGGAAGCATCTATTGCAGGAGGACAAGAGGGAAAGGAGAGTTAGAGGTGACAGTGTGTGTGCGGTTCACTCACGCACCAAATGTGTGTTTGACACCTCTGTGTGTTCAGACTCCCTGGCGGCGCCAGGCGCACACTGGCCGGCAGCAGAGCGGCGGGTTCTGCACTCATGGGGCTTATGTCTGCCCGGCGATGGCCTCTGACCAGCTGCTCTAGCGGGTGATAAAATCGCGGTCGGGGTAGGTGCTGGGAGCGAAGGACCAGCCCCGAGCACAGCAGATACTAAGGCACTTGCACTCGTCAGAGCAGTCAGCAGAGGCTTCCCGGAGTTCCTCGGGTCTGGGGAGAGGGGGTCTGAGCAGCAGAACATCGGTCCCCAGGGGGAGGGGCAGGGGGCGTCTGTCTGGGGTGTCTGTTGGGGCACAGGCTCCCCAGAGCGACTCTGAGCTGTTTGCCGCACAGTGGGAAGCGCTTCTGTGATCGGGCTCGTGGTTTGGAAAAATCACTCTGGCTGCCGAGCGAGCGTGCTCACACATGCACACGTGTACATGTACACGTTTTTGTCCACACACCCTCCTGACCCCAGACTCCTCACCAAGTTGCCACATCGGCTTTTCTCATGCGCAGAGGAGCCTTGAGGCCACCGGAGCCACTGTTCTGGGGGAAGAAGGCAGGCAGTCAGGGTCCCGGCTCCTGGCTGAGCCCTGGCGGCAGATGCTGGCAGGGCAGGCGTGGTTGACGTCGTGGGGTGTGTCCCGGAGCCCCAGTCTTGCTCACAGAGAAAGGGGGTACCACGGTGTCTCCCCCATTCTGGTCAGCCACCAGGCCCAGCCTCCTCCTCCTGGCTGTCTCCTGACCTGGTGGCTGGCCTGGCCACACCCGACCGCGAGGCTGCAGGCAGCAGACACTTGGGGAAACTGAAAGGGCCAGGCCGGGGACTTACCTCTGGGCTTCTCCAGGCCCGCCAAGGAGCTCAGCCGAGCAGTCTGGGAATTTTACTCTCTTTGGGATTATATTTGCCCGGAGGGGATTTTCTGCCCTGCCTCTCATTCCCTCTCCCAGGAAGGGCAGTCCCCCCCAGCCCTGACCCACCCTGCCCCGTGAGTGCTGATAGGTGAGTGGGTCTGTGGTAGCAGGGCCAGACCATGGGCCTGACCGCTGGCCCTGCCCCACTGTGCTGTGATGTTTGGGGTGGGTTGGGCCGGGGTTCTGGAGTCTTTGGGAACCTAACTGCCAGGTTCCCAAAGCCCCCCTTCCTCCCAGCAAGCTGTGCAGTCTGAGGCACCCCCACATGGGGGTACACCCTCCCCCTCCCCAGGGTCTCAGTAGCCTTCCTCTCCCCTGAGCCTGGCTTTCTAAGGCTAAAACCCAAGTCAGACCCCAAGTATCCCTGCAGCTGAGCTGCCACCCTCTGACCCAGCTTAACAGTCAGACCTGGCTTTGAGCCCCTGGTGGATGTATTGAGTGACCTTGAGCAAGGTCAGGGCCTCAGTTTCCCCAGCTATAAAAGGAGGATAATAACAGGGTCCACCCACCAAGGAGAGAGGGCGGACGGGTGAGCTGCTGGAAGGCTGGGGACGGAGGGGGGTGGTCCTCGTGCCTTTGTGCCTTTGCATCCATGGTCATCCCCTGCCATTGTCTTTAAGGGGCCAGGCCAGGGTGAGGCCGGCGAGGTGCTCAATGCAGGGCCACAAACAGCCCTGTGCGGTGCCCCATGGGGTGTCTGCTGCTTGTCAAGAGGAAAAATCAGTAATAGTGAGCCTGTTTTTTTAAAAGATTTTTTAAAAGATTTTATTTATTTATTTTTAGAGAGGGAAGGGAGGGAGAAAGAGAGAGAGAAACATCAGTGTGCGGTTGCTGGGGGTCATGGCCTGCAACCCAGGCATGTGCCCTGACTGGGAATCAAACCTGCGATGCTTAGGTTCGCAGCCCGCACTCAATCCACTGAGCTATGCCAGCCGGGGCGAGCCTGTTTTTATGTAGATGTTTAAAATATTTTGTCCATCCTGGATTTTTCCAGTAATTTAAAAAAAATAATTGCTATAAGCTGTTATTTGTCTTGGTTACTGAGTCTTTGGCACCTCCTTAATTTTTAACACCCAAAGCAAAAGCATTGCTCCCCTCCCTCAGGGTCCCAGCTCTGGTCTTAATGAGGTAGAGCCGGGCTGGTCAAGACCCTGGGTGGACCCTGGGCGGACCCTGGGCTGAGGGCTTTCTCAGTGGCTGCTGGTCTTGCACCTGAGGCTACAGGATGATGGCTGAGGAGGGGGCCCAAGGCTGGTGGTAAAGGTGGGCAGTGACACACTGGGACCCTCAAGGTGGGTTATCTCCAAGTGGGCCCAGGCCAGGCCCCAGGTGAGGGCCAGCCATTCGGGGTGACGCAGCACTTGCCACCCAGGGGAACCTGTCGTTTTGTTCCCCCACCTTAGCTGCTTTGGTGGCATGGTGGTTCAAGGCTGGGGCTCCATCTGGAAAGGTGGGCTCAGGCTGTGGGCCTGGCCCCGGAGGAGGAGGGAAGAGGCAGGGAATGCCTGGGTCTGGGCCTCTGGCAGCCACCCCCTACTCCTTCGCCTTTCCACTCCTGCGTTTACAGTTAGGTTCGTGAACTCATTTATTTCCCCTGCCCTCAGCCCCTGGTGCTGGATACAAGCTGCATGCAACCTTGCCCTGCCCTCCGGGAGCCTAACCAGAGAGCCACACCTGGTAGTGAAACCCAGTGGAATGCCTGTTAAAAAGGGTCCCCCAGGGGCTGCCACAGAGGAGAGGCCCTTCAATCTGCCCGGGAGAGTCAGGAATGCTCCGGCGGAAGGCAGCCTTGGAGCCAAGCTCTGAAGAACACGTTGGGTTTTGATGTGCAAGTCCACAGGGATACTTCTCAGAGCCTGGCTTATTTGGGACACTCTCAGCGCCCGGGCTGGGCTGAAGTGGAGGGGATGAGCCCCGAGCATGGAAAAGGACCAGGAGATGATTACGGGGTATCCCTGGCAGAAGGCTGTGCCCCACAGAGCCAGTGGGCTTGGTCTGACCACACAGGGTCGCAGGGTGGGGAGACGGGGGACAGAAGGGGCTCTCTACGGTGGTCCTGCTGTCTGGATTGCTGGGGTACACTGGGACTTGGAGTGCGGGACCTGAGGCCACTTGGACATCCCTGGCTTGGGCAAGGATGGTGGTGGCTCCTTGGTACCCCCATGGCCGGAGCTGTAGGTTCAGCTGGGCAGGGCGCTCTCCCGCCCCACCTGTTCTCACTGCCCAACTAATGCCCCGTTCTCCTTCTAGATCCTGGGCGGCGTGATCCTGGGCTTCGGGGTGTGGATCCTGGCCGACAAGAGCAGTTTCATCTTTGTCCTGCGTAAGGAGCCCTCTGCTTCCCCCGCCCCCGCTGGCTCTGGAGGGGCGAGCCAGGCCACACAGGCCGCGCTGCCCCCACCGGTGCAGCAGCCCCAGTGCCGCCGGTCACTTTCCCAGCTGGCTCCAGGGCCCTGCCCAGGTCCTGCGGCTGACCTCTGCAGGGGGTTCTGGAAGGAATTTTCTCCCCCTCCTGAAACAAAGCGTCTGCTGTCTGGAGAACCCTGGGGGACAGGGAGGCTTGTTCTCCCATCCTGGCCCCTTCCCTCAGCCCGACCTTGAGAACGCCTCTTACACTGTCCATTAGCCTGTTCAGCAAAATGTGGGCAATGGTCCCTCCCTTTCCCAGTTGAGAGAGATGTAGGAAAGAGCCAGGAATGCCAGATTGCGGGGTGTTGGTGAAGTGCCTACTGTGTGCCTGCACTGTCTAGGGGTGTTGGGCACATGCACTGAGGAGGAAGTCACCAGACACAGCTTCTATTGTTCGAGCTCAGGGGGCTAAGCGTTTTGCATACATCGGTCATCTTAATCCCACAACAGCTCTGCGAGGTAGGAACGGTTCTATTCCTGCCTTCCAAGGAAGAAATGAGGTCCGTAGAGCCTCCGCTCCTTGCTCAAATTCACACAGCTTCTGAGTGGTAGGTGTGGGACTTGAACCATGAGAGCTTTGGTCCTAAATGCTGCACATGGTGAGAGAGCCACAACATGGGAGCCCCTTCTCTCGCTGTTTGGAAGCAGGTGGAAAGAAACCCAAGATGATAAGAGCCACTCTGAGTCTACTCCCAGTCTCCTCCAGGAAGCCTACCAGGCTTGCTGCACTGACCTCTCATGGATGCCCTTTGGTGGGAGGAGGCCTAGCACGCGGCCCCAAGTAGCACGGTGATGCCACTCCCATCAGTGAGCGTGTCGTCCTTGGCTCACTTCCCCTTCCAGCAGCTGCCGGAGGTAGCAGGTTTGGACTCGGGCCCATGACAGCTGCTTGATTTGAATAAAACAGAACCGGCTGCAGTGGGGTCACACCTGTCACTGCGGTCCCAGGGGGCTAGGCCTTCTCCCCTCAGAGGGTAATGGAAGCAAGGATGACTCACCCCCCACCTACATCAGACTCGGCCTGCGGCTGTCAGCCTTTCCTCTTCTTGGGGGGCAGCAGATGCCACCCCCATTCTAGGGCCAGGGTCCTGGTTTCCTGTCTCTGCCGGGTGCCCACACTTGCCCCATCCTATTGTGACCCTGACTAGGCCCAGGCTCCCTACTTCCTGGGCCATGGCCCACACCCAATGGGCACTGTGCCACCGGGCAAAGTCTGGAGGCCAAGCCCGCCCATGGCATTTCTGCCCTCTGCACCCCACCCCAGGGCTCCAGGGACCGCCTGCTACTCCTCCCTCCCCCAGCCTCTCCCCTGTTCAGGTCCGAGAATCTTGAGCTGGCCAGACTTCAGAGGCCTCCCGCATGTACCATGTACCCTGGGTGTTTTTAAAGACACAGGGCCCGGCCCCACCCCAGGGGATCTGACCCTCGGTGTGGGCGGGGGCCCGGAGCACCGTGGTTTCTACAAAGCTCCCCAGGTGTTTCCCAGGCGGCCAGGGCTCAGAAGCACCAAGCTGATCTCCTAGCCCAGTCACTGTACCGTTGGGTAAACTGAGGCTTGGCAAGGGGAAAAAAGACTTGCTGAGAGTCACATAGCAAGTAAGGGTCAGGTCTGGGAACCTGGGGCTCCCGACCTACTGTGTGCCGGGCTGCACGACACAGCTCTGCTCTTAGCCTAATTGAATCCTCGCTGCATCACTGTCCTGTTTTCAATCCCCGCCCAAGGACATGCTTATTGATTTCAGAGAGAAAGAGAGAGAAATATCGATATGAGAGAGAAACATAGATCGGTTGCCTCTCCCAAGTGCCCTAACTGGGACTGAGCCTGCAACCCAGGCACATGCCCTGACTGGGCATCGAAACCAGAGCCTGTCGGTTTCCAGGGCAATGCTCCCACCAGCAGAGCCACACCGGCCGGGGCTCCACGTTTTACAGTGGAGGAAACTGAAGCACGGGAAGGGGAAGTAGCTCATCGGAGGGCACACAGCCAGCAGGTGGAGAGCTGGGATGGGAACCAGGGGGCGGGGCCCCTGAGCCCCTGCCCTGCAGGGCTCTGTGGCGCACCACGGGGTTGCAGGGTGTGCAGACACAAGCACAGTGGCTCAGAGGGCAGGTGCTGGGTACAGGTTGTCGTGGTTCGAATCCTGGCTCTGCGGCCTGTTAGCTCCGTGATCCCAAGCCAGCGCCTTCACCTCTCTGCGCCTCTCTGTCTGCAAAGTGGCGATGAGAGAATGCGCCTCATAAGGTTATTGTGAGTAATTAAATGAATTATTACCCAAAAAGAGTTTAGAACAACTCCTAGTGAAGAGTAAACCCTACATAGTGATGGTTAAATAATGTTCATAATAATTGTTATAATAAGTATTAAAATTGTTAAATAGTAACATTTATAATACCATCTATCCTTACAATATCTTTAAGAAGCAGGACTTTGTTCCTTTTCACGGAGAAGGACACAGAGGCCGGGGAAGGGCCTGCCCGGCTCAGAGGCGGCCAGCAGCCGCGCTGGGGGCAGCACTCACATGTTGTGGTCTCCGGCCCCTTCCGGTTTGGGCCGCTCCCCACCCCCCCCCCTCACCGGAGCCTGCCAGACCCAATAGGATCGAGATGTCTCTGCTGCACATAGCAGATGGGTCACCCTGGAATGTCCTCTGGTCCCTTCCTAAGTCAGTTGCTCAGACTGGGGATGGCCTGAGACCCTGGCGGGCGACAGGGCCTGGCACCCACAAAAGGTTCTAAGAAACCAGCCCCCACAGCTCGGCTAGCCTCCCAGGGGAAGGGGCTGGGGTCTCAGGCCCGGACCTCACCTGCTGGCCATCAGGCCCCCTAGAGACAAATCGGTGTGTGAACCCCCACCCTTGGGGCTGCTGTGGGACAGTCAGGGTCGAGGGCCTAGCCAGGGCTGGCATGCGGCGGGTCTCCAGGCAGTGCCAGCCCCTTTGTTGCAGCGCGGTCACCGGGAGCGCTGTCAGAACTCAAACCCAGGAAGTTCGGGAAAAGTAAAATTTGGCGGCCCCTGCTGCCCATGCCGATCGCTGAGAGCCAGGGCAGGGAGGGCCAGGAATAAAAAGGAAGCCCCACCCTGACTCAGAGGGACTCAGCCCAGATTCCTGGGAGCTGCTGTGAGGAGCAGGGCAGAGGCAGCCCTACCCTGGCACCCTGAGAGTGGTGGGCGGGCCAGGGCCCTTCCTGAGCTCTAGAACATTCTGTCTGCCACCAGAAAGGGGAGCTGGGTCAGGCCCTGCTCCACCCACACTCTAGCTTTGTAGTTAGGCGTCAAGGGTGCCAACACCCCCTCAGTGGCCTCTCCCAGGCCCCCTGGCAGCAGGCGGTCATTCTTCCTCCTGACAATCATTCCTGCCAGCCCCGACTGCACCCAAGTCACTGCGGAAACACGCTGAAAATGCAGATTCTGGGTGGTTTCCTCATGATGGGCCCAAGAATCTGCATCCCCAAGAAGCTGCCCCCATCGCTGGCGTGCTCCAGGCTGCTCTCCAGCCTCCGAGGGCCTCCCTCCTGGGCTGCCTGCCAGGAGTGCGGGGCTGTCACAGCATGAGCCCGCAGCCCCCAGCCCTGGCCCTCCTGGAGTGTCCCAGCCTCGGCGTAGAGTGTGCCCAGGCCAGCAGGCTGCAGGGGCCCCGAGCTCTGCCCTGTGTGTTCTGCTGGGCTTCTGGGGAAATGCTGGCCAAGCGCCCCTGCAGAGCCTCCGATCCGCCCCCACCAGGGTGGGCTCTGTCTGCCACCAGCCCTGCAGATGGTCTCTTGCCATCAGGACCCTCCTCTGTGCCTCGAGCGTGTCACCTGTCACACTGGTCTGTTCGTTCTCACCTCCTTTCCTTTCTTCACATACATTGAGCCTACTTCTTCCTCAGGTCTTTGCACCTGCCGTTCCCACGGCCTGGGATGCTTTTCCCTCGGGTCTTCACCTGACTGACCTCTCTGTTCTCACCTCAGCTCAAATGTCACCTGCCCAGACCAGCCTTCCCAACACCCCAGCCACTCCCTGCGTTAACAGTTCTCTGCGTGAGCCAGCTTCAACGCCTCCATGGCCCTCTACACAGCCAGGAGGGTGTGCTGTTTACGTTTTGTCCACACCTCACATGACGTCAGCTCCTTGGTGTGGGGACCTCATCAGTCCAACTTCTGTATCCCCAGCAGCTGCCACAGTGCCTGGCACCTGGTGACCCCAGGCCAGGACACGGCCCCGCACATTAGAGGAGGGAGCATGGCGTCGGAGGCCTGCGTATTTCCCCATCCCAGCTCTGGCCTGTGCGGTGCACCTCTCTGGGCCTCAGTTTCCTCATCTAAGGAATGGCTGCGCTGAGTTCCGTCAGAGTTGGAGACAGTGTGTGGGCAGCCCCCGAGGCACATTGCGTGGGCAAGAGAGGCTGGCGTTGGCCGTGTGGACGAGGAGGAAGGCAGGCCTGTGGCTCGTTCACTCAGCAGCTATTCATGCACCCTTTTGCTGTGCCAGCCACTGCTAGGTGGGAGCTGGGGGTTCGGCAGGGGCAGCCCCAAGCCCTGCCCTCCTGGAGCTCGCTTTCTGGTAGGGCGTGGCCATGAGCCCGATAAGCTAGCACGATGCAGTCTTTCCGATCCTGGTCAGGGCCGAGGGGGTCAGGTTCAGCAGGGACGGGGTCTAGCACAGACTGAGGGAGGCACATCCAGGCAGCTTCCAGAGAGGGTGAGAAGCAGGTTCCTTGCTGAGAGGTGGGGGCACTGACCCAGCACCCCAACTCCAAGGAGGACATCTGGGAGCAGTCCTGGGCCTTCGGGCCCCGCCCCTGGTTTTGTGCTTCATGAGTGGGAGCCGGCCAGGCCAGGTCGAACACCCTTCCTTCTGTCCTCCCAGAGTCGTCCTCCAGCGTGTTCAACGTGGGGGCCTACGTCTTCATCAGCGTGGGGGCCGTCACCATGTTCATGGGCCTCCTGGGCTGCGTCGGCGCCGTGAAGGAGGTCCGCTGCCTGCTGGGGCTGGTGAGTCGCCGTCCCCGCTGCCTGCCCAGCCCCTGAGCCCCGGCCTGGCCCGGACTGGGTGGGGAGCCCCCGAGGGGAGTGGGGCCTGGTGTGGGCGGCTCCCGGCTGACTCTGCCCGCTCTGTGTTCCCAGTACTTTGTCTTCCTCCTGCTGGTCCTCATCGCCCAGGTGGCTGCTGGTGTCCTCTTCTATTTCAACATGGGCAAGGTAAGCACCCCCCCTCCCCGGCCCCAACCTACACTGGCCGTCGCCTGGGGGATTGGCCTGGGGGCGGGGGATAGACAAGAAGCCGCAGTTGTCACAGACAAACCCAGCAGGCGGGGGACACCGCTCTGTGGTTAAATGGGGGGCGGTAGAGGGGAAGGCAGTATCTGTGGGCAGAGTTTCTCTAGGGCCTGGACGCTGCTCTGCCCCACTGGCCAGCCGTGTGGCTGCCGTGTGGCTGCTGTGTGCAAGCTGCTTGCCTCTCCCTGCCTGTGTCACCCTCTGTCAACTGGGGACAACGGTGACATTGAACCCCTTGGGTTGCTGCTAGGGTTGAGGGAGACTATGTTAGTGAAACATAGCCCAGTGCTTGGCAGGGTAAGAACTCAGGAAATCTCTGCTGTTCTTGTTATTGTTGAGGCACCTCAGCAGGCGTTCCACCCATGCCAGGCACCCACGCATGAGGCCCTGGGAAGAAACTGTCAGTAAAAGCATTAGTGCTGTGTCTCAGGGAAGGTGCCCAGCTTTGAGGAATAGAAGAACATTAGACTTACTGTGGCTTAAAACCTAAGGACACTTGTGGACACAATCAGAAGTCAAGTTTGGAAGCTTAGAGACGGTGGTTCTAGCTGTCTCTTCAGCATCCTCACCATAATGGCTTCTCTACATCATACCTCTCACCTCATGGTCCCAAGGTGGCTGCCACAGCACCATCCTGTGCTGCTGTGGCCAGGAGAAAGGGACTGGGGCAGTGCCAGCCATGGCCATTTCTTTCATCAGAAGAGCAAGCCCCCTACAAATGTCCCCCAGGTTGGGTTACAAAGCTACCCCTGGCTTTACTGGTGTCTGAGAAAGTGTCTAGCTTTTAGGCTCTGAAGACAGAGGCACAGGGAACCAGGAATGGCCGCTGGGTGAGCCAGTCTATTGTGATGATCACAGGGGTTTATGGAACATCTGCTATGGGCACAGAGCTATGGGCGCATCGTCTCATCCTCACAACAGCTCTGTACGGTAGGCATTGTTGTCGGACAGGAAAAAGGACGCTCAGAGGGATTAGTAGCAAAACAGCAACGATAATAATAACTATAACCTCCACCATCCCTGTATCGGTTCAGCACACATCATAGGCTGGGTACAGTGCTGGCCGCTTTACATTCATTCTTTTGCCGATCCTCACCACACTCTCCCAAGATGGGTGAGAATCCCTGTCCCATAGGTGATGGGGGTGGGCACCCAGCAGGTCAACGCCCAGGTCAGGTGAGAGCTCAGGCACTTGACTCCAGTCGGTGCTCAGCCGTGGCCCAGCTGAGCCTGGGGGCAGGGCCTGCCCTCCTCCAGGGCTGCGGTTCTTGTCCACTGAGCAGGTGGCAAAGCCGGCAGCTGGGGGCAGGGCTCCTGTGTTTTACCTCGTGAAGGTCACGTTGCCTCAGATCCCTCTGAGAAGGAAGCTGAGAAAGCATTACACCCTCAACAACTTGCAATCAGAACCAGTCTGGAACGAAACGTTGCACACGTGCTGACTGAGTATTTGGACTTCATAGAAATTCTCAGATCATGGATGTGAGCACCCACCTTGTCAGATGTGGAAGCTGAGGCACAGAGAGGTTAAGCAACTTGGCCAGAGGTCACACAGCTAGTAAATGGCAGAGCTGAGATACGAGCCCCAGCAGCCTGGCTTTTGAGCTCCTGCTGGTGAAATGTTCACTGTGGCCCCTACCTGAATCTGCTGTACTTACTTACAATCCACACGCAGCCGGTTTCCCAGGGGAGTTGGACCTGACTTCCGATGTAGGCACAGGGCGGCTAAACTCAAAATGAGAGTGATCAGAATGCACACTGAGAGAGAGGAAGACCACTGTTCCTGAAGCCACGGGATACGATGCTCCTGTAGCCGAGGGCTAACTTGAACCTGAACTTCCTGGCAGCCAACGCAAGAGGGGAAATACAGTTTCAGTAGATGAAAGGAAGCATACTTGGCTACTGCACAGGAAGAAGATGCTTTGGGCAGGGAAACTCCTTTTCCAGGGAAAGGGTTGTGAGGCGAGCACCTGGGGCTTTCCTGGGACTCAGCCAGCTGCACATTCTCATTGGGGTGGGCAGGAGCAGGGCTCCGGCGGGCTGGCTCCTGTGACTGAGCATGGGTCCACTCTGCAGCGGGGCCGGGCAGTCCACCTCGCCACCACTGCATGTTTCCCCATCTCAGAGTGACAAAGACGGTGCCCATCTGTGGGCACTAGCTGCGTGCCAGCAGCCGATGTTGGGACTCAACACGTTTCACTTTTACGAGCATTTTCCGCTCTAAGAAACTGAGGCCCAGAAAAGCGAAGTGGCTTTCAGCCACAGTCACACACAGGGCAGAGGCGTCAGAGTGGAGGTGTCCCTCCTGCTCCAGGCCCAGGCCTCCCCCAGGTGGCACAGTCTCTGCTTGGCCGATGACCAGAGCCTCCCCGAGGTGTCCTGCAGGTCCAGAGCAGGGCTTGTGTGGAGGGTCACCTCTCCTGACTCCAGTCTAGACTCTGTCCCTTGTACCCCCTGCACCCTTCTGTGCCTCGCTCACCGGGGGCCCCAGGCTCGGGCCCTCACTCTCCCTGGCCCCAGGCCCCCTCACCTTGGCCCACCTCCTCCTCTGGAAGGCAGAGGGAAGTTTTCTGGCTTTTCTGCGGAAATTCTGGCGCCACCCTATCGCCCAAGTTGGAATGAACGATTTATTTTTTCTTTCCCGGCACATTGTGAATCCCAGTGGGAGACTAAACATGCCCTTGATGGTGTTTATTCCTGCAGATGAGGCCCAGCTGGGGAGGCGGGGCGTGTGTGCGCCTGAAGGGAAAGGATGGCCCTTGCAAGGCAGTGGACCCGTCTCTCCCGCTGCTTCCAGGCCCCCTGGGCAGGTGGGAGGGACGGAGCCCCAGGCTCCCCGGGAACCGGTCTCCAGGCTGCCACCTGTCTCCCCTGCCCGGCACTTGGAGCCGCTGCTGTTTCCAAGGCAGCAACAGGGGCGGGGTGGGGGGGGTGGGTCCTTGGGCCAGGCGGGTGGCCTCCCCCCCCACCCCCCCTGCTCAGCTCAGGAGCGCCAGCTGCCTGGTGTTTATAGAATGCAGAGTGGTGGCCAGTGCCTGGGCCCGGAACCCAAGTGCCCGTGTGGGAGCCCCTGCGCCGAGACCCTTGGCCCGTCGCCCACCCTCTCCGGGCCTCGTGTGCCGACTGCCGTGACCACGCAGGTCCACTGTTCCTTGTCTGCAATTTGGAAACCTGAAACCACTTTGAAATGCCCCCCGCCAAAACAAAACAAAACAAAACAAAACAAAACAAAACAAAACACAAAACCATTTATAACTCATTTGGTGGCAAAATGGACCTGAACGGAAGTGAGGCTATTTGTGCCCTTGTGTCCTGCGCTCAGGTGCCCCTCAGGGATGTGAGTGGGAGAAACTCGGGACTGTGACACAGGCCCTGATCCCTTTGTGAAACTGGGACACTTCTCGGTGCTGGAGCACTTGGGTCCCCGGGTGCCCCAGCGACGTGGCGAAGATGAAGGGCACCAACCCGTGGGAAGGGTGCAGTGCGGTGCTGGCCCGGAGCAGATGTTTGCTGGCATCTTTGCGAGGGCTATTGTTATTGTCACCGTCATTGACCTCGTTCATGCCCGGCGGGGGCCCAGTACGTGGCAGCTGCTGCCGCTGCTGTCGGTATCAATACCAGGGTTAGCAAGGGCTGTGGGAACCAGGAAGTGTGCAGCTCAGGTCCCCTGGCTGCTTCTTCACCTGTTTATCCAACTTTCGTTCAGTGGGCAAAGGGCTGACCTGGTACTCAGGGGCCCCGTGTTCTAGAGTGGGCTCTGCCCCGATTACTGTGTGTCCCTGGACAAGTTACCCAGCCTCACCTGAGGAGGTGACCTCCTGGGCCATTCTGAGTTCTGCCAGTCTGGGGTTCTGACTGGTTCTCTGCAGGCAGGGGAGGGGAGGGGAGGAGCGGGTCAGGAGGAAGCAAGCAGACTGACCATGCTTCCTACCATGTGCTGGGTCCGGGGCCTGCTGCACTTGTGCGGTCTGTTCTGCTACCCGCCCCCGCCCCCAACGACCTGCACAGGTGGGGTGCTGCGGCTCCGAGGGGTTGCGTCAGGGGCTCAGCAGAAGGGGGCTAAGAGCCTGGAGGGAAGTGGGCTCGCACGGCCTGGGCGGGAGCTGGGGGTCGGGGGTGGTGACAGTGTCTGTGTGCTCCGAAGAACGAGGGGTCAGGGCAGCTGTGACTCCCTCCTCCTTCCCTCTCCCACCTGAGAAACCCAAAATAGGCACTGTGCAGGCGTCCTAAGGTACAGGTAGCAAAACAGGTTCCTTGAGGACAATGCGGGTCTGTGAGGTGTCTGCTGGTGGAGCGGAAAAAGGCAGCTAGAGTCAGGACGGGGAGAGGTGGACTTTCTCTTCCCTGTTGGGAAGACAGAAGGCTGTGTCCGGCCTGTCCTTCTGGAAAGGGATCGTGGAAAAAAATGGGACAAAGACTCGTGAGCACCTGCTGGGTGCCAGGACGGGCCCTGCCCTCGGGAGCTTACCAGGTGACTGGGGGGTGGGGGTAAGTGGGGGAGGACATGACGTGGCCCCCCGCAGAACCTGGGGTGTCTGGTTGTCTGGGTCACAGCGGACTTTCAGGAAAGACTCAGGTGGTCACCGAGAGTGGACCTGCCGCCCCACCACATGCACCACTGCTAAGGGGCCTCGTTTCCTGTCAGGATGCTGGGAGAAGCCTCAGAGCATTGGCAACACGGCCGTGGGAACCCCAGGGAGAGGACGGGGAGACGTGGCCCACTGCATTGCATCTGGGGCACCTCGTTCTAAGGGGACTTGACTCGTTAGAGTAAAGAGGGTGGAAAGAGGTCTGGACACCGTCTCAGCGGATAGCCAAAGGGGCCCAGAAACTTCCCCCGGAAAGGAGAGCGTAAAGGGAGACACGGTCGGTCTCAGACGTCTGAGCCATCTTTGTCCTGGAGACAGTGGCTTGGCCGGTGCTGTCTGGCCCCAGCTGGGACTGGGGGTGGGGGAGAGGGGTGGGGGTGAGAACTCACACTGACAGCGGAAATCATCAGGGCTCCATGAAAACGAAGCGCTGGTGCCGACAGCCCCCCGCTGTAGAGTGCTGTTGTGTGAGGTGCTGAGTTCCCCCTCAAAGGTAGCATTTAAGCAGAGCCTGGAGAAGTATGAGAAGGATTCTTATATTTAGATTATATTTAACCTCTCTGTGAAAAGCCACACTTCAAGGTGAAATAAAAGCACAGATTGGCAGGGAAAGGCGGGGGGAGTCATCCCGGGGGACGGTGGGGTCTCCCGGCAGGTGGACCCAGTGAGCGGCTTGTTGAGGTTGAGGTCTCGGGGTCCTGGGGCTGCACACGTCAGTGTATGGTCCCCTCTGCCGACTGCCGGCTGTGTGATCTTGGGAAGCTGTTCTGACTCCGGGCGGCCTCCCTTTTCTCTTGGGAAACGGGAGGATGGTGTTGGGCGGGGCTGGGGCTGGCTTCTTAGGCGTGTGGCCTAAGTGTAGGGGTCCCACACTCACAAGGGTCCTGCCCTCGGCGTGATGCTCTGCTGCTGCTGTTTTGAAATTCTTGGTCATTTCTGAGCAAGGGCCCTGCTCTCTCCTCTTGCCCTGGGCTGTAAACTGTGAAGTTCTTTCCCGGGCAGGGCCCTTGACCTCCTGCAGCAGCGATCCCCCGGAAGGTAGCTGCTGGCTGCAGGCCCAGCTGGGCGCAGGTGCCCGCAGGCTGTCAGCAGGACCCTGTCCCCTCTCCATCCCCAGCCTGCTCTCCTCTGTGGCTCCCTCTCAGGTGCGCCACCCACAGTGGAGCCCAAGGTGGTTGCCAGCAGCTCAGGCCCTCCTCCCATCAGATTAGCTGAAAGAGAGGGCCCAGGACCCACGCGTGTGACCCCAGGACATGGACTCACCCCTAAACCCCTCGCTGTTCCCAGGACATGAAAGGCATCCAAGTGGCAGCCTGGGTCTTTCCCTGCCTGTGGCCACAAGGAAGGGAGGTGGGGGCAGGACTTCCAGCCACATGGGTGGGCTGAGGGTGCTGACCCCTCAGGACAGGAACTGTTATTTCAGGAAGAAGGGAGGGCAGGTGCAGGCCGGTCAGGAACCATGGAGGCAGCCCCTGCAGGGGCGAAGTGAGATGGCGAGCATCGTCTTACCGTCTCCCTGCTCCTCCTCGTCTCAGGAACAGCCCGGTTGTCTGGGCGACATACACGTGGGCATTGGGATCCCAAGACACCAGCTCCAAGCTGAACCAGCCCCTGCAGCCGTGGTCCCTGCGGCTCAGCTGTGGCCCTCAGCCACATTCAGGGCTGGAGGACAAGCCGGGGTTCCCATGGAAACCACCCCATCTCGGTGGAAAGCACAGTTTCCACCCCTTCTTATTTCAGGAGGGCCTGAAACAGGGAAGTTGGGGCTGCTGTGGCCACCACACTGGGGTGTAAATAGAGCCCGGTCGGAGGGGAAGGCCAGTGAGGAGGATGTGGGAAGGGTGGTTTTCCAAGCAAATATTTCTGGGCAACCCCCTTCTTTTCTTGCCTCAGAAATCATCGGGGCAGAGGTGGGGATGGTCGGGGCACAAAGACACAAGGTCCGCAGGCCGGCAGCCCCAGCCGTGGGACACAGGCAAACCACTGGGCTTCTCTGGGCCCCTCTTGAAAGTGCTCTGACCTACTTCAAGGTGTGGCCGTGTGGTTAGAATGCCAGTAGAGTGGAATGGGTAAAAACGGGGTTTAGAATCAGATGGGCCTGAGTCCAAACCTCAGCTTTTCTGCTCTTGGGCTGTGTGACCTTGAGCAAGTTAATGAACCTCTCTGAGCCTTGTTTTCTGCATCTGTAAAATTAGGGAACGAGGTCAGTACCCAGACCATAGGTCTGCTCTGAGGATTAAAGTGAGATAACATTAAAATACTTAGCATAGCACCGGGTGCAGAGCAAGCATTTGATAAATGTTAGCCACTCCTATTGCTGTGATTAGTTACTGACAGGAAAGCTTTGTACATCGTAGAGAGCTCTGGGTAAGTAAACATAAGCAACATGCAAAGAGTTTTATGGAGAGGAAAGGGCAGAGGGAGGTCCTGGGGTCCAGTTTCCCCAGGTTCGTGATGGGAGGGGCCGGGAGCCAGGCCTCAGGTCCATCTGGAGGAAGTGGTTGCTCTGAACCCAGCATTCGGGGCTGCCCGTGGGGAGCTGGCGGAAGTCCCGCACCCAGGGTTCTGAACCAGGCTCCGAAAGCCCCTGCCTGGAAGCACCTGTCCCCTCTCCCTAATCCCCTTTTCTCAGGAACTGAGGGGCAGGTGTGCAGCCATCCCCTCCATGCCCCTGCCCCTCTCAGGCCCCCCACAGTGGGTTCCACGGCCAGCCGGTGCATGCGTGTGTGCGGAGAAGGGCCTCGGGCAAAGTCCACGGGAGAGGCTGGGTGCGGCCGGACCAGGCTGGCTCTGGGGCCCCCTCCCACCTGAGCGGAAGGCCCTGCCCTCAGCTCTCTGGGCTAGTTTCGCCTCCCTTTGCATAGCTGACTCGTTCCTGAGGAGCTGCTGCTGCTGCTGCTGCTGCTGCTGCTGCTGCGAGCTCCTCTGTTCAGGGCCCCAGGGAAAGGCCTTGGTCACTGGGTCCTTTTGATCCCTGAACCCCTCATCCGCCTTATTTGTAAATTTGTAAATCAGAGTTTTCTCTGTGGGGTTAGTGAAAAGCAGGGCGTGTCTGTCTTCCTCAGGGCGGGCCCCGGAAAGCCTGAGCACGGTGGCAGTGGCAAGCAGCACAGTCAGGATGTGGATTTTGTGGGGCCCAGGGGCAGGCGTGTGGGTTTAACCCGGAGGGTGCTTGAGGACTGCTGGGTGCGTGGGGAGTAGCGGTGGTGATGCACATTCCTGGCCGTGGATGCCGCACACCTGCCCAGTCCTGGAAACAAATGGGCACGCAATGACCATCCCATGAAGAAAACACGTGCCCCGGCCGGTGTGGCTCCGTTGGTTGGAGCATCTTCCCATAAACCAAAAGGTCGCAGGTTCAATTCCCAGGCTGAAAACATAGCTGGTCCTCGGTCAGGGCCTGTGCAAGAGGCAACCGATCAATGTCTGTCTCTCTCACATCGATGTTTTTCTCCCTCCCTTCCCCTCTCTCTGAAGTCAATAAACATGTCCTGAGGTGAGGGAGGAAAAAAAGAAAGAAAAAAATGCAGGACATTCTTTGTAGGCTAAGGAGGGCCTGGGAGGGGTTGGGGAGGGGTTAGGGAAGGGATGGTATTCTGAGGGGTGGTCCCAGAAGGCCTTGCGGAGGAGGCGGCATTTGAGCAGGGACCTGAAGGAAGTGAAGGAGTGAGTTGTGTTGACATTGAGGGGAAGAGCTTCCAGGCAGAAGAAACAGCAAGTGCAAAGGCCCCGGGGCAGGAGCGAGCCTCGCGCAAAGGCGGCACGGAGACCCGTGTAACAGAAGCAGAGGAGGCAAGAGCAGAAGCAGCGAGGTCCGGGAAGAGCACTGCGGGCTGCTGAGAGGGTGCTGGCATTTCTCCCGCGAGCGCAGGAAGCCACTGGGAGGCTTTCAGCCATGGCACGGGAGGGTTCACCTTTAAAGGGTCATGCGGCTGCTGGGTGCCGAACAGGCTGCGGGCCAGGCGTGGTTGGCCCTGGCTGCACTGGGCTCTGCGTGGTGACCGGTAGGCAGTGTCAGGAAAGTGACTGGGGTGGACAATGAAATGCTCTTACGCTGTGAGCATGGCCCCAGGCCGGGACGTTAGGGTGGGGAGAGGCAGTCTGAGTAGCTGTGACCACAGGTGGGGCATGGGATTCCAGAATCTGACCTCCATCCTTGCTCTCCTCTCTGCAGGTGAAGCAGGAGATGGGCAGCATCGTGATCAAGCTCATCCGGGACTACAAGGACGGCGAGAAGGACAGGCTGCAGCAGGGCTGGGACTACGTGCAGGCTCAGGTAGGGGTGGGGACGGGGCAGCGTGAGGTCCGGGCCTGTTTGTGTCTGTGCGTCGGGGTCTGGGGTCCACGTGCCTGTATGTGCCCGGCAGGGTGTGTTAGCGAGCTCGTGTGTGAGTGTGCATCTGAGGGGTACAGGGGGCACTGAGGTGCCCTCTCATCCTGACACCTCAGTCCCCACCACAGCTGCTTCTCAGGGGCCCCGGGGCTTCGAGGCTGTGCCCTGGCTCGCAGGGCTTCCTGCAATGGCAGGGTGGCGGGGCGGGGCGGGGGGTTGCAGCTCTCAGCCCTCCCGTCTCAAGCCAGGTGGGCGAGTGTTGGCAGCTCTGCCCTGGAGGTTAAGAAACTGGGTGCCAGGTGTGAGTGGAGACTACCTCTAGGGAGGAGCCCGTGGAAACCTCCAGGGGGTAGGGGGGTAGAAACATTCTATTCAAACCCCGTCCAGGCGCTGGTCCTGCCGGGATGGAGGTACAGCCTCAGCACGCCGGGTTTGTGTGCTTTAGCGTGTGCGTGCTCCACCTCAGCTAGAGTGGGGGAGCCGGAGACCGCCAACTGGCCGACAGTGGATGGCCGACTGACAGACAGACGGGCGTACTGACGGAATGACCGGGAGGATGAACGACTGGCAGGGTAACTGAGTGACCGACTGGCTGAGTGGATGAATGGCCAGCCACAGGGTTCCCAGCCTGCCTTGGTGGTGACCCAGTCGCCACACACACTGATTCGGTCCCGACTGCCCCCTCGTTCATGGCCCCAGGTGCTGTGTGTCCTAGGCCAGGCCCCGCCTCCTCTGGGCTGCAGCCTCCTCCAATGGGGACACTGGGTACAAGTCACTCAGGACCTGCTGGCCCTGGCTGGCCGCAGGAGAGTTTGGAGACTGAAGGGGGACTTTGTCCAGGAGGCACTGGCACACCTGTTTTCTGGGCCACGGGAAGGGGAGGGCGATGTTTCCTGTCCAACAAGCCTCGCAGATTTTCCGTGAGGACCAGGTGAGGCCAGGCAGGAGGGCCTGTGCCGGCCAGAGGCTCGGCGCACCCAGGAAGGTCTTCTCATCACACCTTTAGGTTGACGCACAACTGCTGAGACACTTTGCTAACATTCGAGGGAGTCGAGATGCCCCAGAATGAGCAAGTGCCACCTCTCAAGGAGCCCTGGGGAGAAGCGGGTCCCTGGGGAGATGAGCGTCCCACCACGGGAGGTGGTTGGCTGCTGGGGGGGGGGGGTTCCTGCAGCCGGCAAGTCCTCTAGATGATTCTGATGTCTGTTGGATGCTGCTTGGGGTGGTGGTTAAGAAAGCAGACTGTAGCCCTGGCTGGTGTGGCTCTGCCATGCCAATCTTTCTGCCGGAGAGGAGGCAGCCCGGCAACTGCTACATAAAAAATACAACGTGGAGCCTGAGAACGCCGAGCATGCTTGGCACGCCCCCTGCTGGCCACTGGGCTGCTTGTCCGAGACTCCTCGAGGAGATGGATAGGAAGCGGGTGGGGAACTGACCGCTCGCTGGGCACACTGGCCCACAGCTTTCCCTTGCAGCTCATTTGATCCTCCCAGGGATCCTGGTGTCCTGGTTATTGCCATCCCATTCTCCAGACGAGCAAACGAGCTCAGAGAAGGGCAGCGGCTTGCCCACGCATGGGGCAGGGCCAAGGTTTGAAAGGAGCCTTGCCCCCACTCTGTTCTGCCTAGCCGGGCCGTTCCCAGCCCAGGGCCAGCCCTGAGATCTCAATCCTGTCGGGAACTCCAGCCCAGATGTGATCTGAAGCCTCTCGGGGTCCCCTTCTTGAGCCCCATGGAGTCCCCTTGTAGCACACGGAGCTCAGAAAGTCTTTCGTCCCCTCTAGAACAAGAGCATTTCCTCCCCTACAAAGGTGGAATGGACTATGTCCCCCTTTTCACTTGGGCACCCAGGAAGCTCAGAGGCAAACCACAGCGGCAGCACACTCTTAGCCCCTGAAAGTGGACCCAGCCTTTCCCGAGCAATTACTACGCTCTCCAGGCCTGTGCTGGGTGCTCCACCTGCCTCAGCCATTTGGTCCCTGTAACAGCCCTTGGGAGATAGAAATCTTGTTACCCCATTTTGCAGATAAGGAAACTGAGGTCAGTACTTTGACCAAAGCTGAGCGGCTGCTAGGGGGCAGAGCTGGGATTTGAACCCAGTATCCTGACTCCAGACCCCACGCTCTTAACCAGAGGTTATCTGCCCTCCTATTTGTCCCCACACCTGTGTTCTGCCTTTCAACTTGAACTTTTCTCCTGTTTTGCTTTATGTTTTTGCTGGTCCTGATGTTTCCTTCCGACTGTTTAGTAGTTTGTGGTACGTATTTCCTGAAGCCCCTTTAAGCCCTTTGTGGCTCACGGAAGCCTCAGTGAGACCTAAACTCGGATCCCAGCAGTGTGGCTGGGACCAGGGAGGCCTGCAAGTGGCAGCTCTGAGCCTCCTTCCGGGGAGGCCCCACCTCTGCCAGGAGGGGCAGCCTGCCTGCGTGGGCACGGGGCCTGAGCAGCCTGTCCCCTCTCGGTCCAGGGCAAGTGCTGTGGCTGGGCCAGCCCCTACAACTGGACGGAAAACGCTGAGCTCATGAACCGCACCACCGTCACCTACCCCTGCTCCTGCGAGATCAAGGACGACAACAACAACAGCAGCCACCTCATGATGAGTAACGGCTTCTGCGAGCATCCCAGCGGCAACATGACCCAGAGTGGCAACAATCCCGGCGACTGGCCTGTGTATCAGGATGTATGTAGGGGGCTGTGGGGCCAGGGGCTGGGCTCGGGGACCCCCGCAGGTTCAGGTGCCCCAGCCACCCCGGCTCCCCTGGGCTCCCGCTCCCTCTGTCCACCTGCTCTTCCTGCTTTTGACCCACTTGTTCCCTCGCCATTTGGACCTCTGTTACATACTCATTAACTTATCTGCTGAAGAAACTCTCTTTACGCAGAGCCCTCTGGGCAGACAGTGGCCCTTCCTGGTGGTTCTGCGTGCTGGGGGCAGGGGGAGGTGGCGGGACTCCGGCCAACTTGGCTCTGTTCTCCCCTGCAGGGCTGCATGCAGAAGGTGCAGGCGTGGCTGCAGGACAACCTGGGCATCATCCTGGGCGTGTGTGTGGGCATCGCTTTCATTGAGGTCTGTGTCCCCTCCCCGTGGCCCTCTCCGTGCTCTGTCCCCCCCGGACTGTCCCTGCTCTGTGGGTGTCCTGGCGGAGGCTGAGGCCATCAGCTTCCAGAGGCCCCATTGTTACCGAATGGAACCCGTAGGGGGGTGGAGGGGGCCCAGACACTGTCATCGAATCAAGGCCCCTCCCCCAGGGTCCTTCCATCACTGTGGGTCCTTTGCCCGCCGCCCTTAGGAATGGTGGCTCTCAAGGCCAGAGTCTGGTAAAGAGGAAAGGAACTTTTTATTCAAAAGTTATACAGGGTTAGGGTAATGGCAGAATGTCGCTGTTCAAACCCCAAAGTCCCTGAAAAACACCCACAAACACACACAGCCCTTAATTCCCGCCTTTGCCCAGTCAGGCCAGTCCCAGAACGTGCCGATCAGAAGTGCCGTCCTCCAGAGAAAAAGAGCAGAAGTTTATAGCTCACTCCTCCCGGTTCCTCTCAGTCATCTGTGCTGGGCTGGGCAGGTCTCCCATGGTCCCCCGCACCATCGGCTGTGTCACCGGGCCATCTCCAGTTCTTAGTCCAGAGCCCCGTGGCACCTCCTCGTGGCCCACCAGCAAGAGTCCTTTTGCCCCTTTCCTTCCCGCTTGGTCTCACATTGTTCCCCGTCCCTCCTGGCGGCCTGCCTTAAGTTTAAATCCCAGCCTGGAGCCTCCTCCGCACCCCATTTCCGACTCCTCCCACAATCGGCTACACCTGCCAGTACTCCCGCATTTTTCTGCCTTTCTGGGCTGCCATAGTAAGTCCTGGCAGGCATGGCCCCGGGGCGTGGAGTGAACCGTCTCCAAGCTCTCACACGGGCACTGTAACCAGGGGGAGCTGCCTCCCAGGTACATCATGGGTCCAAGTTACGCATGCCTTCCGGCTCCACTCTGGCTGGAAGACCAGTCTGCTGTTATTGATATACAAAATAACCATTTTTGCATATCAGGTATGAAGCTGGCTGGCAAAATAACTCTCAATGGCCCTGCTCCATGTGTCCCTCCCCCAGCCTGGCCTATTCTCCTATATTCTGGAGCACCCCAAGTTCTGGACCCCGTCACAGTGTGGCAAAGCATGCACCCTCTCTGGCCCCCCCACCCCCCGCCTGAATCACAGGCTGGTGGGGAGGCTGTGGCTGAGGCTCCTCTCGGTCCCTGTGTGCTGAGCTGGGGTCTCGTGGGGACTGGGCAGCCCCGCCCCCTCTGACTCTCGCCCTCTCCCTCCACAGCTCCTGGGGATGCTCCTGTCCATCTGCCTGTGCCGGCACATCCATTCCGAAGACTACAGCAAGGTCCCCAAGTACTGAGGCAGCTGCTGTCCCCACCTCCCTGCCCGTCCCCCCACCTCAGGGCTCTCCCTGGGGGAGCTTGGCGTCTCCCTGGCTCGCTCCCCCAGGCCTGCCTTCCAACTCACTGCCAAGGCCCCTTGCCCATGCTGTGCTCTGTGCTGGCTGGAAATGAGGGGTCTTCTGGGGCCTGGGCCCCACTCCCTGCCTTTCCGCCTCCGGCCTTGAGCCCGGCTATTCTGTGGCTCCTCCGCTCACTGCCCACCGGGGTTCTCCGAGCAGCTCGGAGAAAACACCCCTGCAGCATCTCTGCACAGGTGGGCTGGGTCTCTACCTGCCTCTGGGGATGTATATATTGTATGGGGGAGAGTGTATTAAAAATGGGGGGATGTAGATAAGGTACTCTGGGCTGTCAGGGGACTGCCCACTGCGTGGGTCAACTTTTTTTCCACTACGATGCTTAGACCTTTGACTTTCACATTTTCATGAAAGGCTGTGGGAGAGGGTGGGCTTCACCTGATGTTAGGGGCAGCACCCCTGCCCCAGGCCTGGCCCCGCCCCGCCCAGGCAGCTCAGATCCGCCTGGGCCATGTCCTGGGAGCATGACTCGGATGAGCTCAGCCCAGCAGGGCTTAGCCCGGCTCTGGGCTGCTTAGGGAATCGGGCGAGTCCTCGGGGTGTGGCGCAGAGCTGACCCTGTGTCCTCTGGCCCCTGAGCCGTCCAGGGAAGCGGGAAGGATGCTTTCCCTTGTCCTCTGCCTCCCGGGAAGTGGGTGTGTGAGGCTGCGCTTTGTAGGGGAGTGGGAAGGGGCTCCATGCATGGTCCTGTAAAGCATACTCAAGATATGAAGACTGACTATTAAAGACGATTTGTAACAACCTAGCCTGACTTGGGGGTGCTGCTTCTCGAGCTGCAGGAGGACCGGAGGGGAGAGAGAGGGTGAACAGAACGGCTGGGTCCGCAGGGAGGAACGGCAGGCACCTCACGGCTGTCCCCAAGGGCAGGGACCCTTTCTCAGCATCTCTGGCCTCCTCTCCAGCCTGGTGCCTGAGGAGTGTGTGACGCCCCATTCCAGTCTCCCTGCCTGGCTGCCGACGTGGCTGGAGTTTGATCTGTATATTGAAACGAGCATAGATTGTACCTCTAGGTTCCTGCCTCTGAGCCCCGGGTACAGGTGCACGACGAAGCCTCGGGGGAAGACTGGGTTCTTTCTAGAGCATCTGTTTTCGACGAAGGAAGGAATCACTTTCACATTAAAGAACTGTGAAGGAGTAAGGTGTGCAGAACTCAGGGACTTCAAAGATGCAGTGTGGGACTTTAAAGGAAGCTCCTACTGGTCACAGAGGGTGAGCCCCGCACACCCCGTGCTCAGCCTCGGAAGCCCAGAGGAGGTGATCTGCCTGGGCAGCTGCTTTACGCGTGGAAGGCGGGGGAGAAGCCCGAGTAGGACGCACCTTTCCTCCCTCCCCCCAGTGTCCTCCTCTCTGACTTCTTGAGGCTCCGGAGGAGGAGGAAGAGGTGGGGTATGGGGACTTGCCTTCCTACAGCAGGGCATGGAGGGCTACGGAAGGGAGGTGTTCCAGAAGAATCCACCAGGTGGTGCTGCTGCTCCAGCCCAGGAGCCCAGGGCTGTTCTGGTGTCTCCAGGGGCCTCGCCAACCCCTGGCTTGTGGTCTCTCGTTCCGGCGGGAACACTGGTGAAAAAGGCAGACTCCAGGGCCCAGGAATTCTGGCGCAGCAGTTCGAGCTGGGGACGAGGAATCTGCATTGTTAGCCGCCCTCTGAGGTGATGATAAATCTCATTACTTTAGATTCTCAGTCCTCCCTGATGAGATGGAGCCAGACGTACCCCAAAGAGAGAGGTGGGGGTGAGGGTCCTCAGCAAGGATGTAGGGGGCACACCTTAGTGACAGTCTAACTCTTGATCTGACTCTTGATTCATTTCTTGCAAGAAGCTTTCTGTGGCTGAAATCCAGGGCCAACTCACTTTCAGGCCTGTGGGAGGGGCCAGGCACCGCACTGGCGGCTGAAGGAGCCTTGAGCCCTGTGGGAGCTCTGCCGCCGCGAGGGACCCTCCCTGGAGCACTCATCATGCAAAGAGGGCTGAGGGCTGCAAGTGAAGCCCGTCAGCTTATTTGATGTATAACCCACCTCATTCCACAAAGGAAGGTCATAAAATATACAACATAACAGAGAAAATATAAATTGCATGAGGAAGTGTGGACTTGGATGAAATAAGCACGTAGCTGCAGTGCCCAGCCTGGTGATGGCAAATGCGTACCATGCGCATAGTGTGCGCTCCCCTGTCGCGCCCACGGCAGACATCGCTAATCGATCGTCTCATCTTCTTGGCCCCGATGCCTCCTGGCCATTCCTAGGGCTGATAGCACTCCCCGCAGCCTCGGAATCCTTCTCACCCCCGTACTCCCCATCAGTCAGGCTGGAGTGCAAGATGAGAGCAGCTGCCATCCTTGAGCTCTTATTGTTTCAACGAGACAGGGGTGGGCAAAAGTAGGCCTACTGTTGTTTGTACAATATAATAATTAAGTAATTAAGAATACAGGGATAAACTGTGTTCCGTGCACTCGCAGCTGCATGCCTACTTTCGCTCACCCCGTCTATCATTTTACCTCTGAGCTCCCCGGTGGTCAAAGCAAAAAAGATACTTTTGTCAGTTGCACAGCTCTCGTTCCCTGAGGTTTCCTCGTGCCTAGCTACTGGGACGAATGTGGCTGGCGACCATCCAGAATTCCAGACCACCCTCAGACACGCAGACCTGGAGGGCTGCTCACGACTGAAGCAAAGACGTGAAAGAGCCTGCTGTGGGTCTGACCTCGTGCTGGTTATTGGCACTGAGGACACCAGTTTTGCCCCTGCCAAGGAGGAGCCAGAGAGACCAAGTGCATGCACGTGAACCAGTGGGGCGACAGTTCTCCGCGCAGCGGTGCGCAGGTGGCACCTGCTCTGTGCTAGGCCCACTGACGTGAGCTAACCTATCTGCTCCCTACAGTCCTGTAAGGTGCACGTTCATCGTGATCCCCACTGTAGAGAGAGAACAATGAAGACAAGAGGCTAAATAATGTCCTCAACATTGTTCATCGGCAAGAGGAGCTGGGAGCCACAGCCTAGCCACCTGGTGGCAGACAAGGAGAATCTGGGGCTACAGCTGGACTAGGAGCTGTGGGGGGGGGGGTCTGACTTCGCTCAGGGGCCCCTCTGTGCATGGGCAGCAATTCCACATCGCTGGGTTTGGGTGGGGCACGGCTGCCCGTCCCCTCTCCCCTGAGAAGGGCGCAGGTTGTGGGTCAGAGAGACCTGACTTCCACCGGAGGCTTGGTGTTTTGTAGCCAAGTGGCCTCTGACAAACCCCTTCACCTCTTGGAGCCTCCCTTTCCTCATCTGAACACTGGGGTGTTGGCACGGTTGTGCGAGGCTCAGGGGATGCAGAGGATGTAGAGCCCTCAGCAAGGTGCCTGGCCCCCAAGACCCCTGAACCAGAGCGAGTCATGGCTGCCCTCGGCTAGGCCCACCTCATAGTGCCCCCAGCTGAGCAGACCTCTTTCCCATCTCTGCTGAGACCACGGCAGTGGAGGACGTGGGAGTCGAACAGAGGGCAAGGGTCTGCAGAGGGCATGGACTTAGGAGCACAGGGCCCTAGGGTGCAGGGCGCAGGAGAGGCTGGGCTGTCAGAGGGTGCGGTCTAATTGCCCTTCAGCCACCCTGTGGGTGGGAGCCCCAAACATGACACCTGGGTAGAAGTAGCCATGAGGGGGGCTTGGGTGCACCAGGTAGGGGGTCCTGCCCAGGCCATCACGCCCCTGGAGTTGGCGATGACGCCCAGGGTGGGGTCAGCAATCAGATAAGCACAGAGAAACTGGGGGCTCTTTGTCCCCCATATTTGTTTCTTCTCCCTGTCCCCTAGGCCTGGGAGGTGGGAAGAATGGGGGTGCTGGGATGGTCTGGGAAACTGAGAGCCCCTCCCCAAAGAACAGTAGCAGGTGTTAGCTGGCCAAGAATGGAACATGAAGTCTGAGTGGGACAGGCGCTAGTGTCTGGGGCTCTGGGGCTCTGGGGCGTGGGCTGGGCATCCTGAGAAGGTAGACCTGAGACAACCCTGTCCTGGCCACCTGCTGACCTCTAAGTTAAATGGGACCAGCTGAGAGGGATCTGCTGTAGGTCCGTTCCGTGGCCTTGGCCACCTCCCTCTCAGGGGGGTGGGGGGAGGAGAGAACAGTATCAAAGGCCCTATGTGGCCCATCCTCACAGGCAGGGCTGTGCCCTCATGGTGGGACCCCCTCCCGGCTTCACCTGAAGGTACAGGGAGTGTCTTAGGATGGCTTTTTGTAAATGCTTTGTCATTTGGAGCAGGGGACCCAGGCTGGAATCTACCTCCGTCTTCCTGTGTGGCCCCAGGCCCCAAAGTGGGGGTGGGCTCAAAACTGTTTGCAAGATACATCTGAGAAGACCAAAAATGCAGGTTACCAAGGGGGGCAGGCTAAACCCCCCAGCCTGCCTTCTCTGACAGGGCCACCTTGGCTGGCGGGGCCCAGGGCCAAACAGCCGGACAGAGCCAGCGCGAGGACTGGCTCCGCAGGGACCCGACTCTGAAGACGCCCCATGCCTGCCGCTGCCCAGACTCCCCGGGCAGCCCCAGGGGTGTGCTGTGTGGGGAGAGTCACTGAGGGCAGTTGGTGAGTATGAATCAAAGGGGAGCAGAGGGCATGAGACATTGGGCTTGGTGAACGGGGGAGCAGGAGCCCGCCTGCTCACCAGGAAGCTACGCTTTCACACCCCAGGGGAGCGTGGTTGCTCCACCAGGGGACTAACACCCCTCGCTTCCCCCCTTCCACACGGAATTGTTGGGGGGCGCAGGGGGAGGGTTCAATCATAGAGGCCTGTCAGTCTAACTAGGGGGTGGGCCCATCAAAAACCCCACAAAAGCTTAGGAAGTTGCTTGGTTCTTTTGAAAAAAACACCTGGTCTGACCCAAACTCAAGCTAATATAACCCCAGGGAGACAAAGAAGTGTGTGCTTGCACTCTCTCACTCTCTCACTCTCTCCCTGACTCACCCTGTTCATTTGCTCATGCTCTCACCCAGGAGGACACTACCACGTGGGCCTGGCAGCTACCAGGGCCCACGGCAGATGGCGTGGGCTCCAAAGGACTGAGCTTTAACACGAAGCGGAGACCCTGGACCTGGCTCTTGTTCTGGCCTTGTTGAGGACACGGTTGGGCTTCTTCCGTGGCAGGACAGACAGAGATGGGACACAGGGGAGGCCTCCACTGGAAACCCGGGGGGGCAGCCTCTATTTCCCCATGGATAAGCCACCTTGCCACACCACAGTCTCCGGTGCATGGGTCTTCGGAGTGCTTTCCTCGAGACCCCGTGGGAGAGCCTAGTTTTCACCACCAGCAAGACCATGGCCTCAGCTTTGGCAAAATCTGGTCACTAAGCACTGACCTGCTGGGCCCCTTAGCCCTCCCTCCTGGAGAGGACCCCACTTCAGGCTGCAGCTCCGTGTGGAGGGAACAGAGTCTGCCTTCTCTAAATCCTGAGCTGGCTCGGAGAGCTGGTCATTCGTCTGGAGCCTGCCTGGGGCTTCTGTCCTTCTTGCCTCCCTCCCCGAGCTGCTGCATCAGCGGAGCCGCTACCAGATCTGCTGTGGGAGAAAGGCCACCCCCAGGCTGCCACCCCTCCCACCTACACCCACGCTGAGGGCCGTGCTGTTCAGAAGACAGGCACAGGAGCCCCGCACTGGCCTGGCCGCTGAACCAGTAGGCAGAGGAAGCAAGGGCCCCCCTGGGTAGTGCTCCCTGAGGCCAGGCAGGAAGCATAGGGGGACACCAGCTTGCTCTCCGCTCCCTTGGGGAGCCAATGTCG